CTTTTAAATAAGCATCCCACATTTATTTATTTCAGGTACTTGAATAGCGCCATCAATTTACACAGTGCTTTTACATATATATTGTACATTCACATCAGTCCCTAACCCTCAAGGGGCGTACAATCTAAGATCCCTAACTCACATTAATATACAAGGGCCAATTTAGACAGGATCCAATTAACCTACCAGCATGTCTTTGGAGTGTAGGAGGAAACTGGAGTACCTGGAGGAAACCCACACAGGCACAGGGAGAACATGCAAACTCCAGGCAGGTGTTGCTGTGGTTGGGATTTGAATTGACGACCCTAGTACTGCCAGGCAGAAGTGCTAACCATTTAGCCACTGTGCTGCCCGCATGCATGTTTAAAAGGTGAAGAAAAACTGCCATTATCAAATCTCATTCAAGACATATCAGGATTGGATTTAATTAAACTTACTTTACCTGCTTGTCCATGCTGATTGAATAATTTTTCTATTAGCCTCTTGTGGCCAGTCTGTGGCCCAAGAGCCACATGCAGCTCCATTGTACATATTGTGCAGCTTTCAATCCCCAGTCAATGTTTACATATGCATAACGAGTAAGCACCCTGGACAACAATGAATTCACTGCAGATTCTTGTATTTTCACAGCAAGATTTTTAACAAGCTGGACTGGAATGGTACAAATACTGTACAGTATAGCGCACCAAGAAAAGTTCCATATAGACAAAGACCTTGGCTAACAGCAGAAGTCTACACCAGTGTGGTATTTGTAATGTGTGAATGCACAGTACACCTATATGCATGCATAAAAATTACACAATTTATAAAAAGATGTTGAGTGCAAAAAAAAAAAAAAAAAAGTACATAGTAAAAAGCAGTGACTAGTCAAGTTACAGAATGAGGTAGAATAAAATATGATATTTTGGAAAACCAAGTCCCCTTTATCAGGCTTATCAGACCTGACAATACATGGGCAGAAAAAATTACAATCCTTATAAAGCGTGAGCTTCAAATGGGCAATCATATACAATACATGAGCAACAAACAGTTATTTGCCACAATATATGGGCATCAAGGCACAGAACACATACTTACCTACTGTTCTGAGCTGGACAGTTCTGCTTTTTGGTCAAAAGTCCCTTGATGTCTGTATTCTGGGCCATGTCCTAGAAACCAGGGCTGGGATAAGGGGGGCAGGGCACAGTGTTTTATGTAGTGGGATGGGGGGGGGGCACCAAATCCCTGCAAGATGGCAGAGGACGAGAGTCTGGAGAGTGTCACTGAGCAAGGGAGAAATGGAGGAGATAGTGAGCATGGACACTGCCTGTGTACAGCCTAAGTTATGGTAAGATTCCAAGGAGGGATAATGTCAAGTGAACGAACAGTCTGATTATCACCCTGGCCCTGAAGGAGGCACTGTCTACTGGGCATCAGTACTGGGCTCCTGCCATCAGTGCCCTGTCCCTATTATTTCTAAGCTTCTTATTGTATTGTAGGCTAGCGCTAACCAAAAGTCTGCTTCTGTAGCTCTGATGAAGCTAACAGTCACTGCAAGCCCTGGGTTACCATTGCAGGGACTTGAAGTTCCACGGCTTCCTGCTTCTTACAGGTGATATGCGACAGGGGGCAGCTCCTAATAGTTGTAATAACACCATACTTTTATAGGTGGTATTTATTTGTCTTATTTATAAGAAGAGTGTCATTAGAGTATGACGGTTATACACCAGCTGCTCGCATCTTTCAAGGTAAAGACTACCCCAAGCAGCTAATCTGCTCTCTCTCTGCCCACTGTTTGCAAGTGGGGAGTATAAGAATGTGCTGCAGCGTGTTGTGATGCGTTGGAACATGTTGTAATGTGCTGCAATAAAATGATACCTGCCTGCATTTTATCACAACGCACATTGGTGTGAACAGGCCTTATACAAAGCAAGGTTTTTTGCCTTGTCTTTTCATTGGGATTGTGTTGGGCAATGCTAGCCCAACAGCCTTCTTGTTAACCAACCCTAAATGGTAAGTCCTGTGATCGTGTTGTATGGAGTACAAGACTTACCCAGTGTCACCAGACAGGATGATCCACTAGTAGTAAACCAATACTGAAAACATCAGTAGAATTTTTTTTTAAGGTGGCCTAACATCACCCTAAAGCTGGCCATATGCATTAGTCAATTATTTCTGCCAGGTTATTTTTTGCTGTCTGTGCATCATTCATTAGGGAAATTTCCTTTCACTTCCTGTCCCATAGATGAAACTTCACTAGTTGTCCTAGTGCCACACTTTAAATTGACTAAGGCTCCAGGTACATGGGACGTTTGGAAAACAGTTCTGAACAATAGAAACTGACTGCTGGAAAACATAGGTTAAAAATGTCTGTTTGCCGCGTATGCATATCGCGTTTATGTGCGTTTGCGTTTAGAAGCATTTTTTAAAGATAACATCAGGAGACCTTCCAAAATGCCCAGAATACACTGAAAAACAGTAAAAAATTAACTGTTTCAGACATTTGGAGAAAAATAGAGAGAGCAGAAGCAGAGAGAGCAGTAGTATGTGTTGAGATGACCTGTCTTTTCTGGTTGTAATCACTATGGATCCCATCATGAGCATAATGCAGCACATTCTACCATTTTTTCCTTCACACAAAACCTGGAACTGACTAAGCTGGTGTGCCCGGTCCATTTGAATACATGGAAAATGCTTTGCATGCATTTCTGATGATGAAAAAAGTCTCTAGACAGCATCTGGACATGGAAAAGTTGAAAAACGTTTCTTAACGCAAACGCTTATAAACACGGTTAGCTACGTTTACACACATTTACAAGCATTTGGCGTTTGAAACGCTGATAAAATCTACTCCTGAACGCAAGTTTGGTGCGTTCAAAAAAACGACTGTAAAATCAACTGTCTGTAAATGACTGTAAACGACGATGTGTACATGGACACATAGGAAAACATTAGGGAGAGTTCAGGGGCTGCTGAAAAAAACGCAGAAAAGCTCCTGAACGTGAGTTTATCAGCTGCAGTGTACATGAGCCCCAAAAGTTGCAGATAGCTAAACAAATACATAAATAAGTTTATCAATGAGCAATACCTTCTTGGCTGTGTTTTCAGTCCTAATTGAGATACACCTTCCTGTGTATACAGTATTTTAATTAGGTGATTTAATTAGGTAATTTAATTAAATTGTACAATAGGTCAAAACTATTCCTCCTATAGAATCCTGCCCATTTCAAATGAATGCCCAGTACCTAATTAAATTACATTCTCCACCTTTTTTGCTGAATGCACAGCAAAAAAGTGACCCTTTTGAAACATAGGCAAATATGGGCAACACAGTGGCTAAATGGATAGCACTTCCACCTGGCAGTACTAGGGTCGTTGGTTCGAATCCCAGCCATGGCACCTCCTGCCTGGAGTTTCCATGTTCTCCCTGTGCCTGCGTGGGTTTCCTCTGGGTACTCTAGTTTTCTCCCACACTCCAAAGACACGCTGGTAGGTTAATTGGATCCTGTCTAAAATTAACCCTTGTATATGAATGTGAGTTAGGGACCTTATATTGTATGCCCCTTGAGGGTTAGGGACTGATGTGAATGTACAATATATATGTAAAGCGCTGTGTAAATTGATGGTGCTATATAAGTACCTGAAATAAACAAATAATAAATATGCAAAAGGGCCATAGAATGTCCCAGCTGCCAAATATCTGATCTACCAAAGGGTTGCACAAAGTATGAATAAATAAGGCAGTTGGAATAGTGAAAGAATAGTCTTTCACTATTATTACTAGCATAACCTATTGTCAAGAATGAATACTCTATGCATTACTTTGAAAATAAATAGTTATAGCGACCCTGTAGTCTAAACTTTGCTGAAACCCAAATAGAAAAGAACTAGAGCTGCCAATCTTCACCCTGCCAGGCAATAAACAGTAACAACTTAGTATTGCCAGGCGTGTATGCCTATGAAGTGTACCATCCATTAATTAGAATGGCCTGAATCCTAAATCAATATGACATGTTTCTGCTTGTTAATTTCATCATTTGAAGATCATTTCTATTAAGACGTGCAATCGTAGCGCTGCTTTCACGGAGCTCCTTGTTGAGACTAGTATTAATTCTGACACTTTACCTTTACGTTGTTCACATTCCTCACTTACAGTTCATTTGTATGATTTCATGCATCAGCAGAGGTCATTTATTCTGGATGGGCAAATCTCGGACCACTAAGTAATGAAATCATGCTAAAATGTTTAATGTCTAAAGTAGGGACTGGCAAATAGCAGTGTGATGCATATTCCTTTATTAGCAAAAGGCATTTTTAGAAGCAATGATGGAAGAGAGAACTATGGGAGCTTTTGTAATTTTTTTTATTGCTGATTTGAAATAAGCAAAAAAGTCATATCGGATGGGACAACATCAACACAGCCAGCAGACATCCCTTGAAATCTGTCAGTGGATGGAAGAGCTGGCGGTGCCCAACAAGAAACAGATGTACTCAAGGAGCTATATAATGACAGAACTGGACAAGCCCAGAACCATAAATAGAAAAACAAATACTGAAAAAGAAATAGTTGCAGTCAATTAAAATATATGCAAATATGTCTCATCAATCTTGCATTAAAACATTAACAATTTACAGAAATATTAATTACATCTCAGCCAGTCAAAAACAAAAATATCTCATTTATTGCTGTATGAATTCATAAGACCCAAACATATTTTACACCTCCACCATCCAAGATACAGTTAAAACTTCTTGGTGTGTTTCAATTAATAAGAAGTGATATATTAGGCTTGGTTTACTAAATGAGTAGAACAAGCATTTTCATTTTGCAAATTACATTTTGACTCAGTTTAATGAATGGAGTGAAGTTAATTGAAAATCCAGTTTGCAAAGAATACTCTTATCATGTGCAAAGAAAATTGAAAAAAAAACAGGGTTTTTGCTTAGACATGATTGGGCAATTGAAGCCAGATGAACTTATTTTATTACAGGTACTTACTGCATATAGCACCATCAATTTATCCAACACGTTACATGTATAACGTACATTCACATCAGTCCCTGCCCTTAAGAAGCACACAATCTAAGGCAGGGCTTGAAATTTCCACTCTCCTGCTCGCCAATGGCGAGTGGAAATTATGGTGGGGGCGAGTGTGTGTCCCAGGGCCGTCTTGCTGAGCAGGCTTGGAGCTCAGGCCGGATCTGTCATTGGCACTGGGAGCCGTCAGACTGCTCAATAGCTGAGCGCAGTGAAAGCAAAGCAAGGAGTGTGTGCTGTGCTCTCTGCCTCCCCCTAGAGTGCAGTACCCCGATCTGTGAGTTAACAACGACGTACTGCAACTTTTTATGGGGGGGTATTGTGTGTGTGTACATGTGTGTCTGTGTATGCATGTACAATTGTACATGTGTCTGTGTGTATGTACATGTGTGTATCTATACATGTGTCTGTGTGTGTATACATGTGTCTGTATGTGTGTGTGTACATGTGTCTCTGTGCGTGTGTGTACATGTTTCTGTGTGTGTATGTGTGTGTGTATGTACATGTCTATGTGTGTATACAAGTGTCTCTGTGTGTGTTTGTTGGTGGTGAGTAACTCTAAAGCCTGGCTAGTAGCTCAGGACTTGAAATTTTAAGACCCTGATCTAAGGTACCCAACTCATGCACACACATATTAGGGCTAATTTACACAGGAGCCAAATAACCTACAAGTATGTCTATGGACTGTGAGACTGTGGGAAGAAACCGGAGTACCCGATGGAAACCCACTCTGGCATAGGAAGAACATGCAAACTCCAGGCAGCTAGTGCCGTGGTTGGGATTCGAACCAACGACCCTAGTACTGCCAGGATGAAGTGCTAATTAATAGCTTAAACTTCTTAGTAAATCAACCATATTATGTCTTGATGCATTGTATTTATTCTGAGCATTACTTAAGCTGGCCATACACATGTAGATTTTTGGACGAGAATATTCGTATGAAAAGTTGTACAAAAATTTTTTGAGCATTGTGAATGGACGAATGTCATTCGAAATTGTCTTTTATTTTTAACATTCAAGTTTAAAATGAATGTAATTTCTGAATGATAACCACATACACTGGCCGAAAATTCATTTGATCGAGAAAAGTTTACCTTCCTGCACCTTCGAATTTTTCGATCACTGCGGTTGAAAACAAACATTGATTTGACCCCACTAACGATCAAACGAATATTCCTGAAATGAACATTCTTGAATGAAAATCTATACGTGTATTATTCATTACCTGAGCTGTTCGAATGTTCTGAAAGTACCTATAGAAATTCCAATCATCCAGTAATAATATCAGCTTTGTATGTCTTTTTTTAGACTATGACCTCATTCCCCTACTCTAGCTAAGGAAGATGCAGCAGAATATCCAAATCATGTTTGCATCTCTGAAAGATACTATTAGCAAAAGACTACACTGTTAAAGTTCATCTAACAGAAGCATAACATGCACTGTTATACAACAGATTTCACCATCGTAAAGCAAATATAATTCCAGGCATTCGTCAAGGGTTCATTTTCTGTGCTGACAGCCCAGTGATGGTAGATCTTTAGTTGTAATACAGCACCAAAAACAAGTTTCCTCTGCCCAGATTGGTGACATAAATGACTTGGCTACATCAAAATCTACAATGTAGAGAAATAATTCTTGCTACGGTTATTCTCTATGGCTTTCCCCCATATCCTGGATATTACCTGCTTTACATTAAACACAGATCTTGGTTAAAGGGTAACTTTTCTGGACTGCTTTGAGATGAACAAGAGTTCACTGTTTACTAGCAGTAAAATGAAGTTGATAGAGCCTACCTGACAGCTTTATAGAGTTCTCTCCTCTATACATACCTTGACTTGAAAGTGGTCTGATTGTGCAAGAATGAATGGCTAACCTCTTAAAGTGGTTCAAAAAAATCTAAACATTTTTTTACCTTAATGCATTCCCTGCATTAAGGTAGAAATCATTTAACTCCCTTTTCTACCCCCAACCGTAAACACTTACCTGTCTCCTCTGATCGATCTAGAGCTGTGCCCAGCTGCAGCTCTTCTCCCTTCCCTTCCTATTTCCACAGGAGACTATGAGAGCAGTGCGAGCCATTGGCTCCTTCTGCTGTCAGTCAAATCCTGTGAGGAGGGAGCAGAGGCGTGGCTGAGCCGAGCCGAGCTGTGTGTGTCTATGGCGGGAGCACGCATATACAAGTGCACCCACAGCAGCTGGCTTGCTTATGGGGGCACTTGTAGAGAGAAGGAGAGGACAACGCTGGTGGGGAACCACTAAAGAAGAGGTAGTGGACCTCTTTGTGCAATATTGTTGAGCAAAGCCAGGTAGGTATGAAAATTTTTATTTTAAAACCCATAAGCTTTAGTGTTACTTTAACCCCTAGACGCCGAGCGCACGCAGATATGCGGCCTCTCGGAGTCTGGGCATTGACGCTGAGCAGCTGCATATTTGCGTTCCATTAGAAAATACATATGTGCTGAGAGCGCACGCCATGTCCGCTCCCAGCACATACAGTTGTGTTCAAAATAATAGCAGTGTGCTGAAAAAAGTGAATAAAGCTCAGAATCCTTCTAATAGCTTTTATTTCCATACACACAAATGCATTGGGAACACTACACATTCTATTCCAAATCAAAACATGAAGAAAAATATATAAAATTTGTGTTGTTCCTCTAAAAAAATGAAGAAAAGTGAATATTAGACTGTTCAAAAAAATAGCAGTGTTTGTATTCTTCTTTACAAACTCAAACATTCACTATATAAACTGAAAAATGTTTGAAGAGTTTGCTTTCCTTTGAATCACTTAACCACTAGCCTACAGGACACGTATACCCCCTTCCTGCCCAGGCCAATTTCCAGCTTTCAGCGCTGTCGCACTTTGAATGACAATTGCGCGGTCAAACAACACTGTACCCATATGAAATTTTTATCATTTTTTTGAGACAGATAGAGCTTTCTTTTGGTGGTATTTAATCACCTCTGGGATTTTTATTTTTTCTTAAACAAACCAAAAACCACTGAAAATTTTGAAAAAAAAGTTTTTCTTAGTTTTTGTTAAACAATTTTGTAAATAAGTGATTTTTCTCCTTCAGTGATAGGCAGCACTGACTGGCACTGATAGGCGGCACTGACTGGCACTGATAGGTGGCACTGACTGGCACTGATGCGCACTGATAGGCAACACTGACTGGCACTGATAGGTGGCACTGATTGGCAGCACTGAAAGGTGGCACTGATTGGCATTGATAGTTGGCACTGACTAGCACTGATGGGTGACATTGAAAGGTAGCTCAGATGGGCACTGATATGTGGCATTGATGTGCACTGGTATGCACTGATATGTGGAATTGATGTGGCACTGATGGGCACTGGCACGTGGCATTGATGGGCACTGGCACGTGGCACTGATGAGCACTAACAGGTGGCACTTCTGGGGCCTCACTGATCATCAGGGCACACTGATCATCAGTGCCCTGATGATCAGTGTACATGTCCCTTCCGCGAAAAAGCCGATTACTGGCTCTCCTCTCGAGCTGTCAGCGTGACAGCTCGAAAGGAGAGAAATGCCGATAACCGGCATTTCCGTGTTTACATGTGATCAGCTGTGATTGGACACAGCTGATCACATGACCGAGCCGACATCTTCAGCTCTTTCTGTGATCCGCTGTGTTGGAGGGACACAGCGCACCGGCGATCGCCACGCTGCACGCTCCCCGAGCCGCGCATGCACAGTGAGAATGGTAGGATGTCATATGACGTCCTGTCAGAACGAGAGAACCACCTTGCGCCCGTCTTTGTACTATAGGGCGGGCGGAAGGTGGTTAATTAATATTTAGTTGTATAAGCACTGTTTCTGAGAACTGCTGTACATCTGTGTTGCATGGAGTCAACCAACTTCTGGCACCTGTGAACAGGTATTCCAGCCCAGGATGATTGGACTACATTCCACAGTTCTTCTCTATTTCTTGGTTATGCCTCAGAAACTGCATTTTTGATGTCACCCCACAAGTTTTCTATTGGATTAAGATCCGGGGATTGAGCTGGCCACTCCATAACGTCAATCTTGTTGGTCTGGAACCAAGATGTTTCACGTTTACTGGTGTGTTTGGGGTCGTTGTCTTGTTGGAACACCCATTTCAAGGGCATTTCCTCTTCAGTATAAAGCAGCATGACCTCTTCAAGTATTCGGATGTATTCAAACTGATCCATGATCCCTGGTATGCGATAAATAGGCCCAACACCATAGTATGAGAAACATCCCCATATCATGATGCTTGCGCAACCATGCTTCACTGTCTTCACAGTGTACTGTGGCTTGAATTCAGTGTTTGGGGGTCGTCTGACAAACTGTCTCCGGCCACTAGACCCAAAAAGAACAATCTTACTTTCATCAGTCCACAAAATGTTGCGCCATTTCTCTTTAGGCCAGCCAATGTGCTCTTTGGCAAATTGTAACCTCTTCAGTACATCTTTTTTTCAACAGTGGGACTTTGCGGGGGCTTCTTGCAGATAGCTTGGCTTCACATAGGCGTCTTCTAATTGTAACAGTACTCACAGGTAACTTTGCACCTTCTTTGATCTTTTTGAAGCTGATTGTTGGCTGAGTCCTTGCCATTTTCACTATTCTTCTATCCATTCGAATGGTAGTTTTTCGCTTTCTTCCACGTGTTTCAGGTTTTGGTTGCCATTTTAAAGCATTTGCGATCATTTTAGCTGAGCAGCCTATCATTTTCTGCACTTCTTTATATGTTTTCCCCTCTCCAATCAACTTTTTAATCAAGGTATGCTGTTCTTCTGAACAATGTCTGGAACGACCCATTTTCCTCAGAATTTCAGAGAGAAATGCATTGTTACCAGCATGTGCAAAATTTGCTGCCTTCCTTCCTTAAATAAGGGCAATAATTGCCACCTGTTTTTCAAAGAATGAATGACCTCACTAATAGAACTCCACACTGCTATTATTTTGAACATGCCCCTTTCAATTAGTGATTCAATTACACAGAATCAGCAGCATGCATGTCATGACTGTTGGGTCTGTTGGATTTCTATTACTCTACTACACCTGCTAGTAAATTATTTGCCATGTAGAAATATCATTTCTACCAAAAACAGTGATTGATCAGGTTAGTGATGTCTGACTGCTATTATTTTGAACACAACTGTATGTCCGTGACTCACAGAAAGGTCCCGATCTCCCCTTGCGATCGGGACCTTTTCCGATCATGTGACCGCCATGATGGCTAATCATGGTGGTCACATGACTCTAAAACCCCGGCTTCTGAAACTCTTAAAGGGCCAGGAGGCGCCAGCGCAAAGGCGTCAAACCTATAGGCAGCTTTAAGGTTTGAATTGATGGGCTTTGGGCTTGTGTCAATAGCATCAGTTTGAGACGTTTCATCATCAGATCATTCAGAATTCTTTGATATGTACATTTGTACTGCAGGTGACTTCCTTCTAAACTGTACCTGACCAGCTTCAAGCAGGTTTGCATTCCCCATGGGAACGCAAAACTTGTCTGACAT